ACCGACCTTAAGGACCGAGCTGGTCGAAGGCAGCATTAATGACGCCGTCATTGCACAAGATCTCGATCTGGTAGAGGAAAAAAGAGAATAGGCCGCCATAAGAATGGCTTCATATCGGAATTAGATGTCCCAAACTTATAACAAGAATATAAACCCTCGGTCTTTCACACTTGGAGACCTAGTACTCAGGCGTGTATTGGGGTCGACTAAAAACTCAGTCCGTGGGAAGCTCGGAGCAAACTGGGAAGGTCCATACAGAGTAGCTAGAGTTGGGGGCAGCAAGTATTACGAACTCGAGACCTTGGATCATAAGGCAGTATCGTGCCCCTAGAACATTACGAACCTTAGAAAGTTCTATTTTTAAAAAGTACCTTTTTAGATAGAACTCCGAAGTGCCTTTGAAAATTTAAGAGTGCCCCTTAAACGATGGTATATTAGCAACGAATGTATCAAGTTGAAGTTATCAAAAAAAATTCGAAGATTCTTTTTCTACGCTTACTTTGCTTTATTCACGTCCTACTGTTAAGACAGTGAGGCCAAAAAACCTGATAGAAGTCAAAAGTTTAAATTAGGCGCAGCCACCCGATCAAATTCAGGCCCTCAGTTAGGCATGACAATGTAAGCTGACTAGAGATGAGTTTGAGTCCAATCAGATTGGTGGGTCGGTGCGGAGTAGAAACACTCTTAGATCTCAAGGGGACTTTGAGTAACTCTACTGATGAACCGAGTTCTTTGAAGAATGGCCGAGCAAGGACCATAACTTCAAGAGACTTGAAATTTTTCCTAAATATAAAAAGGTCCCTGTAGAGGGACCAAGCTCCTTGAAGAAGGGCCGAGCAAGGGCCATAACTTCAAGAGACTTGAAATTTTTCCTAAGTATAAAAAGGTTCCTGTTAAGGAACCGAGCTCTTTGAAGAAGGGCCAAGTAAATGACATAACTTCGAGAGACTCAAAATTTTTCTAAGTATAAAAAAGCCCCTGTTGAAGGACCGAGCTCTTTCAAAAAGGGCCGTGTAAATGCCATAACTTCAAGAGCCTCAAAGTCAAAATTTTTTATTCTAAGTGCATAAAAAAGTTTCCTAAGCCTTCATCAAAATAAATTGCATAACAAAAAATTGTGATTTTCATTTAAACTGCTAAAGAGTACAAAAAGATCTGTAGGCGATTACATCAAAGAGAATCAAAAATATTCCAAATGTTGATTATGAAACAGGTGGTTGTGAAGAGCTCGGAAGAGCATGCTTAGAGAAAAGCTCTGAGGATGATGGAATTTTAGCGGCAGTTAAAGCGGCAAGCCACCCTTTGTTGAAATACGCATCACAAATTTGAGGAATTTGTAGAGCTAGGTCTTCTTCCGCCTTCTCAACTCCCTCATCATATGCAGCATCTTCTCTTCCCTAAGCTTCGGATTTGTATTTATCAAATTCTTCGAGGAGAGTGGAATAGTCGAGTTGGGCTTGAGTAAGCTCTACATTGGCTTCATGCTTGGACTCCTTCAGCTTCTCAATATCTAAATAAAGCTTCTGGTTCTCCTCGATCAAGCTTTGGTTTTGAGCCTACAGAACCTTCACATCTTCGCAGAGTTTTGCATACTTCTCATCCACACTCTCTTTCTTGGCCAGAGGCGAAACTCAGGCATGGATGGCGTCTTTCATTGCTTTATCTTTACGAGCTATTCGAGCTCCTACCTCATAGACTTTTTGTAAACCCTTAAACTTATGAAGAAGAAAAAAACTTAGAAAAATTTTAAGACAGAGTAAAAAGCTTAAAGGAAGTCAGAATCAAGACTTACCAGGACCATATACTGAATAGCCTGACGAGACACCTCATCATCAGTTAGTGCCTCATTCATTGCTAGGTCACGAGGCAGAATCACCCTCTAACAATCCCCACTGCTACATTGAAGTTTTCGTTGACAGAGTCCTTTGAAGTGATCTTTCTCCTTTTTTCCCTTAGGACAGGTCGGAAAGGAGGAATTGCTGACTTGGGAGAGAGACTCGCCTTGACCTCAGCAATCCTTCGCCTCTTCGGGGCTGGGTCCTCGATAAGCTCAAAAATGGAGTGTTCTTCAGGAGGAGAAGATTGAACAGAGACAAGGGAATCCAATTCGAATGGAATTGAAGTTTCACAGGTCTGAGCCACATCTGCTTGATCACTACTCGGAATATCGGCATTACTTGGAGGAACAGTCTCGGCAGCAACCTCGGCAACGGGCTTTTCTTCGATGACGATTGGGGGCACAGAAGTTGTTGTCATTTGTTCAGTAAAAGGGGTCGACTCAACTGTTGACAAAAAGTCTAAGAAATTCCTCACAGTTCTGCGTTCAGAGGCTACCAGGGAAGGTCTCTTTTTTGCTCGGGGTGTCTTTTTCCGAGCAGCCTGGATGGCCTCCCAATCTGCTGCAAGCGTTGCATTGGGTCTGTTCGACACGACGATAAAAGATGTGTAGTTTGGTGTGTATCCAAGCAGTGTATGGGCAGCTCGACAGAACAAAGATTCATTGAAATCTCAAACCTTCTGAAATTAGTCTAACTTAACAGAAAACTCAGGGATCTTGCCGTTCACGGTTTCTCTTACACAATAATTATATCAGATTTAGTAAAAAGAGAAAGAATAGCGAATCTTTGGAGGGCAATGATAGGAAGAGGAGGCTCCAGCGGGGTATTCCCAATTTCCAGAAACGATCACAATGTCATTTTCATGACCTTTGTTCGAGTCAGGAAGGTGGGTGACTAGATAGCGGTCCTTCTTCCTTATTGACAGATAGTAGCTATCTCCAGCAGCTTTAATGATATAGTAGTATGGGATGTCCCACAAATCGAGACTCAAACCCAAAATTTTGTTCAACGCAAAAACCCCCATGACTATCCTAAAGAAATTGAGGCAGTATTGGACGGGGTAGAGTTTTGAGGCAGAAAGAGTGCACAAAAAGATAGGGTCGAGGGGAAATCAGATTCCTCCCTTGGTGATAGCACGAGTAGGGATGGGGATCGACTCCCTTGTGCCAATCAGTGGTTCGTCCTTCCCCGCAACTCTTATTTCAACATCGTCAAGAACGTTTTATTTTACTGTGAAGGCTAAAATTTCAGAAGGCGTGAGGGGAGCCATTGAAGATAATAGAATTCAGAGAGAGAAAACACAGAAAGAAAAGGAAAAGAGTTTGAGAGTCTGGAAGCAGAAAGGCGAAGTGAGTGAAAAACGAAGAAAGACGGTTTATAAGGAGAGAGGAATTTTAAAGGGCAACATTTAAATGCCCTAAATGTGCCACCAAAATGAAAGGGCATGTTACAAAGTATAAGTAATGATAATGAAAAGATAAGAAAATGATTGACAGAAAAAAAATGTCTGTCATATATTTTCTAGGAACAAATGAAGGGGTTAGCCCTCATCATTACACATGTAATGACATTAAATAAAATCCACGTAAGGTTGACAAGATAGATCATGTGATAGAGAAATCATTCATACAACCTAGATTCGACAAAAAAAAAAAGTTCAGTTCTCTTTATGACCGAGCTCATCAATCTGATTCAGCTAAGTAAGGAAAGAGCTCGGCTTATACCAAGCTGAGTCTGTTAAAGTGTTTGACAAGGCGATTGAAGAGATTGGTTTGTGTCAAACCAAGTCCCTTAATCTGTTCGGCAAACATCGAGTGAGCTCAGTATTCGATATGTCCGAGCTATTTCAAATGATAGACAGAAAGATAAAGATTCGCCTATAACTTAGGCAATCAGATAAATGAATAAGAGAAATTGAAGATATCAGGAGGAAAATATTGGAAAAATATCAGCGACCTCCCAAACTGAATCACTGAATTAAAGAAAAGTGTGCCACCATGAATCAAAAATCACAGAAACCCCAAGGGGATGACCATCTATAAAAAAACAAAAGAATCTAATGTGAAAAATAGGCTGAACTCTCTTAGTCTTCTTCCATTCGTTTTAGTATCTTTATTGACTTAAGCATCTGAGTATCTTCAATCAAAGCACTTTAATCTTTGGCAGTTTGTTCGTTTTGTAGGAAAGGGAAGACTGGAAAATCAAGTTCAAAAGCTTATCAATTTTTCAATCTCTGTAAGAGGTATTCTCAATTTTTTACCTCTTACACTATAAATTCGAAATTTGACAGTTTCTTAAAATCAGACCATAAGTGATTTATCTCTCATGAATATCTTAATCTTAGTATGGATAATCTGCCGTTGACCAGACCAAAGAGGAAATTAATCAAAATGTGCATAAACTAGTCCAACCACCCCTGACAATTGAACAAAAAAAAAAAAAACACATTGCCGAAACAAAACCTGGAATCATATGCCTACGTTGAGGCAAGAGCTGCTGCGGATGGACTCTGAATGAACACTAAAAGTTCCACATCTGCTGCCCAGTTCCGATTTTTGCGAATTAGAATTGGTCATACTAATCTTCTTTGTATTGTGATATCAACCTTTAACAATTGTCTCAGTCGAGATAACAAACTCCGTTTAAAACAGAAACCTAATGACTGAAAAATCATGTGAATATGGAAATTCGATGGAAGGATAATTTACTGGCCACTCTTGGCTTATCATGCCGCTCAAAGCTCAATCACAAAGCCAATCTTTTCGTGAAGTGAATATCACAAACATGTATTGGTTATACTAACTATAGAAACTCAAGACAAACCTATAATTTCTATTTTCAAGATTATGTATAAAACTTTGACAACATTGGGTATGGGTTTCCTGCGAAGCAGTGATGCACCATGACCCCATTGACACACCTCTTTCGTGAGATCGAAATGTCAATCACTCAAAAAAGAAACAAATTGAAAGAAACAATATCTGAAAATTCAGTGAGATTGAAACCAAAATGCAAGTATTCACTGGCCTACGGTAACAGAAGCCTTCTTGTATTTACCCGGTAAGAATATTATCTCTGTGTCCCCAAATGTCGATGCTGAAGGTTCTGAAAATCACAAATTCACAGCACTATAATTCCCAGAAGTCGAGGACTAACGAGGTTTTACTTCTCTCCAGAACGCCTAGCAGAAACGCGGGCGTCTGCATTCCTTGCCTCGTGCTTTCTCTTGCTTCTGCGTTTTGATCTCGGCGACCGAGTTTTCATTGTATGCTTCTCAGTGTTCACTGGGATAATCGTCGGTTTTTCATTAGATGGGAGCTCAGGAGGAGCATCCGGCCACGGTGTGTGTTTTGCTGGGACAGTTACCTCCAATGGAGGGTCAATTACCCATCTGCATGAAATAAAAAGCTAATACTCAAATGAAAAGCTAAAATTCATCTTATGCAGGTTAGATCTGGATTTGTTAGGCATGTGAAAAAAGGTTGAATCAGTGCAAAATAGCGCAACTATCAGTGGAAATACAAGGGAAAATTAATTAACCAAATTCCAAGCTTTTAGACATATATGGAATTCACTAGAAACTATTCAGAGACCAGATCAGCCAAGCACCTCCAATAAATAAGATCATTACCACGCAAAAAAAGGGAAAATGTGAGAAGCATTACTGTTGGATGTAAAGAGTAAGAAGGAGCCTAAAAGTTCAGTTCATTTACAAATACTGATGTTGAGCATCACTTGTTTTATGTGAAAAGGGCAAATTATGGAGATGACAGGTGTATTGGTGCTAGTAGATGAGTTCATCCCTGCAATTGTAAATGCTACAGGAAAACCATTCTCAAGTACCAAGAAAAACAACATGGAACACATGATAATGTATCTTACTCCCAAAATATTAGATGATTTAAATCAATGACACTCATTCAAGAAGTGTTTCCAACTCTTAACAAAGTGGAAGTATATCAATAAACAATAGCAAGCTTTTTTAGACTACAAAAGTAAGAAGTTATACACAAAAGATAACAACTGAAGTTTTGAAAACCCGCACAGGTTAATTTGTGGTCAAACAAAAGATGAGTTGTAAACCTACATATCCTAAGTTCAGGTCACCTGAACCGCATAAAACACGAGTTTAATAAATGTCTGTGGTTTGCAGGTGATTGTGTGTATTACATTGCAGCCATGAGTCTCATGGCCGCGTGGTTGGGACAATTTTCCATTGCCATAGAAAAATGGAAGTTGAGAGACCCTCTGGTTTCACCTCTTACTAATAGTAATTTTATGCATGGCAATTGGTAGATTTTGCTAATTTACCAAGCATGGACAAAAGTAAAAGTATAATTACAATGCCAATAAGAAAATGTAAAATAACAAGTGCAAACTACAAGTCAACTGGAACAGTACATGACAAAGCCACAACTGAAACCTTGTGCAACATTTATTGACATCACCACTAGTCCAAGAAAAGAGACTCCCGGACAACTTTTTGAGAGATATTATTCCCCAACTCAACAAACACTATGCTTTTTGACTTCAAAAGGCCTTCTTAGATTGTGTTGGATTGGTTTAGAGCTATTTTATGCAGAGTTAGATTTAATTCTCCCTTTGAAGCATTTCAGCTTATAACCATGACTGATTTTTTATCTAATCAAAACATATAAATTTATGTGTGTTTGTGAGCCATATCAAAGTTTAAAAATCAAAAAAATCATATTTTGTGTGTGATTTGGGGTGTGTATGTGTGTGAGAGAGAGAGAGAGATCATCCTAAGCACACTTTTTGCGTCAAAACCATGACCGGAGAACTTACAATACAAATTAGTCCATAATAAAACACTAACAATAGGTGAAAACAAATACGGGGTTGAGAAACTATATTAGGCTAGTCATTGCAAACTTTGACTTGAAATAATATAAGTTTCTTTGTACTTTTATTTTGCAAGGGAACTGTAAAGAATTTAGAGATTTCCTATTTGTTATGTTAAATTAATAACAGATCAAATTAGTAAGGATCAATTTGCTATAAATAGATCAAATTGGGCACGTCATGAGGGTTGAACCATCCTAATCTCTCGGGTTTCTGTCCAATGTGGATTAAGTCCTATCTTGATGCATGGACCCATGTACCCTTTGAAGTTTATTGCCCCTATTTTACTTTAGGCAGGTGTTTACATTTGTTGGAGCATTAACTTGCTCTATGGTTTAGCATCCTCCCGGGCATGGACACGAGTTTGTTCCCAGTCTAGGGTGCAATGGCAGTATGCGGTGACAGAACCACATGTAGCCCTAAGGGGGGCCATGGTACCCTCACATTTTGAATTTTTTTTGTAACCCCCTATAGATTTTTAGATGTTTCTATTGCTTCCCCCAAGTTTTTCAAAAAGCCCAATGTACAAGTGTCTCACTTAGTGATTTAAAGAAATTATTATTATTATTATTTTTTGATTTAAAGAAATTAATAACTTGACATCTAACAACAAAATGAGGGATGTGATGACATGGATGAGTGCTACTCTTTCCGACTACTACACTTGTCTAGATGACTTTGTTGTCCAAATGAAAAAAATAAGTGAAAATGTCACAAAATTACATTAAAATGTGGCTTATACAAAAAGCCATGTATCGACTAAGAAAATAAGCAGATGGTGACATTGTCACAAACAGTGTTAAGTCTTATGACCCAAACTCAATTATAGGATAGTACCGTATAAAAGTTAATCTAGATGGTTCTATATAACTAACAATTTGTCGTTAGTACTAACTTGTTGAAAAACATCATTAAATAAAATTCTCATGTATGCTATTATTTATTGGCCTCCCTCAGCATAAAATCCTGGTTACGTCCTTGTCGGCATACAATAGACTAAGATTGTTCAGCAATCTCGGAGAATGTCCAGAGCTTCAATGTAATCTCCAATTCTTTAATCGATGAATCACCTTACCATTAAAAAACTTTCATAAATGCTCCAAATATTGGATTGTAGATTGATAAGTAACACAACTTTGAAGGTATGGACCAGCATTAGGTACCACCAACTCAGTTAACTTCATGCTAACAAAACAAACAAACAGATGATGGGCTTCTACTTTAAGACATTTTTGAAATATGCTATATTTTATAGACATCGAAACCCTAACCATTTTCCGACATGCACGTAGGACAGCGTGCGCCTGAAAGTGAACAGACTTGATGGAAAATGCACTATCCATGTCCTAACTTTTCTTTTTGCACATTCCGGTGGCAAAAAGTAATCAACACTATCATGAATAAATACCCCTAATGCACACATTACAATGTGTGTGCATAAGCCACATTACAATATGTGTTCATAAGCCATGCATGCAGTCTCACAAGATTCATCTCTTTTATCAGAAAGTAAACATGATTCCTTTCATTCTAAAGTAACAAAAAAATTAGCTAATTTCAACAATTGAAGATCAAAGGTAGGATTTTGTTGCATCATTTATGTGCCAATTGTGGACATAGATGTGTGTCCCACATATAAGATAAGAAATAGTAAGGCAGGCCCCATATGAAATGGAATTTCTGGGTACAACTTGGATACTCGATTAGCAGTGAGTCCATTCTCATTGCTGGATTAAATTTCCGAAAATTGGTCACTGAAATCAGACATGAAAGTTTACGGTTATCCTAGCACTGTATGATCTATACTTCATATATAACCAAGGAATTGCAATTTTTCCATCCCTTTGACTGTGATGCATGCAAACTAGCGAATTTGGCAGATAAACCTTCCTATACAGCAAAACACGTGTGATATCAAAATACTTTCTGGTAAAAAGAAATAGCATCAGTTATTTTACTAGGTTTCAAACAATAGTCAACAAAAAAACACAATATTCCTTGTTATTTTCAACAAGAATGGCTGAGACAACAAATATCCATGTCATTTGTACTTGGATCCCCATAAAACCACAAATACGCAGTGATTCCAAATCCAGAAGCCAAAAACTAACTAAACTTGATAACACACACATGGTCAAGTAGGCAACACAAACTGCAGCATGGCGGGAAAAAGACCGCATAAAAGTCGAGTTTTGGTTGATTGGCTTCACCCTTTAAACATGTACGGCGCACAAATTTAACAGCAGAGGCATTCAAAGCCATTCCAATAGAAGGTTCTATGATCTATCTTATTCTTCTAAGAAGTCCACCAAAACTTTTTTATTCAAGTACATCACTGTGAATATATTAGTTTTCCATTTGATAATTTTAAAAACTCACAAATAGCTATGGACACATTTGAATGGATTAACATGTACAAATGGAAAGGCAACCATACAGCAACCTTCACTCATGAGTATGCATGAAAAACCATGAACATCTACCAAGACAACCAAAGAACTGAACATCTCTACAGCTAGGACAGTTAACACTAATGCAGGTGCTAAATTGTTGGGAGAGAACACATATCATATCATAGGATTAGCATCACTGAAGCTCAACAATAGACTTTGAAAAAGTGAAGGTAGAAAACTGACCCAGTAGGGAATTTGCTATCTGCCCGAGCTTCAACTCGAAGCCACCACAGCAAAACTTTGCGCCCACAACTCCCTAGAGGCTCCACCACAGAAGGGTCCTTCAGCAAAGATAAAGGACTCTCGATGTCCTCTCCATCTCCCGCCAACATATCCAAATCCTTCACCCACTCAGGCTTATCTTCAGCTTCCTTCCAGACCAACCTTGAATTCAATACAAACCCAGCCCACTCAAGCTTCCTCGGCAGCACAATTGCCCTGTCACCAATATAATTCGCGCTCTTTCCTTCATAAGGTAGAGAATTAAAGGTGTGCCAACCCACCAATTGGTCTGAAGAATTACAAGCGGGACCTTGAATGGGCACAGGCGAGTTCTTCTCAATCTCATTCTTCTCAACCACCGATAATTCCTCAACAGAACTACCGGAATGAGCAAGAATCCCAACTGAAAGAGCACCAATCCATTTCACCTTCAAGATCTCATCAAAAAGCTCCAAAGTATGCATATTACTATCATCAGCAAACACCAAAACCCCATCTAGCTCCTGTTCTCTCACAACTCTGCTCCATCATACACACTTACTCTGTCAAATTTGAATTCTAACAACAATTTTCAATAAACACCACAACTGAATAAGAAGAGAAATTCCATACCTTAAGGCGCTGAGTCGCATTTTAGACTCCATTTTGTGACGATCCTCCCAAAAAACTGGCATTTTCTGGTTGAATCCGATATGGATAGTCCGAAGACCTGACTTGGCGAGCAGCGAAGCGGTCTCGTTGGTTTTTCCTCCGGCCTCAACGACGATCCAGATGAGATCGTACGGCACATTCATCAGCGAATGCATTACTCCAGTCAGATGCAGAGTCTGGAAGGTCCGCACATAGGTCGGAGTGATGGCAATCACGGTCCTAGGGTTCTTCACGCCGAACTGTAGTCTTTGCTCTCTCTGAACTCTCTCAATTATCCGGTGAGCCTTCATGACCTCCTCTGGATTTGGATGCGGCCATGGCCGGATTAAAATTCCGTGCCTCCCAACCACCACCCCACTGCTTGAAACGGTAGTCCTATTCACCGTTGACTCGAGATTTGATAGTGAACGTGTTGACTGAAAAGCTAGGGTTTCGGCAAGATTAAACGGCGGCGTAGTATAAAGATTTGTAGTGGTGGTGGAGGTGGAGAAGAGGAGGAAGAAGACAAGGCGAGAGAACCGGAAGCCCAGGACGAGGCTGATTAGGCAACAGAGGCCGTGGAGAACTAGCCAGAAGATCGCCGCCGGAGATTTTATGGCTCCGTCGGAGGGATCTAAGGGCGACGAACCTCTGAAGCTGTTGCTCCGGCGACTCTGCTGCAACACTGGCAACTTCATTTTCTCTCTCCTCCTTCACTCCACAGAGAGAAAGAGAGGGGGAGAGTTGTTGGGTGTCGAATTTGGAAAGGGGTTGGGGCTGAGAAGTATTGATGAGTGCCTTTGAAGGATTGGGTTTGTTTTGGTGTTCGTTGTAGAGTAGAAACAGAGAGATAGAGAGAGGAGGTTGGGGCGATGGCGATGGTGGGGGGGTCGAGCTGTAGTAGGTTAAGGTGTTGTTTAGTCAAAGATTTCTTAGAGTTTACGAATTAATCGATTGCTTATTATTGTCTTCTTCTCCTGTTGTTAGTTTCAGAGTGAGAGAGAGACTTACCATGATAGCCCATAGAGAAACCATTTTCGGACATGAAAGTTCAAAGACGGAGAAGATCTAGGGTCTTGATTGCTCAGACACTATTATCGTAGGCGCGAGTAAAAGCGGCCTGCAAGAAGGAAGAAAATTTAAGGGATTTAAAAGGCATACGAGGGGTTTTTAGTGGAAGAAAAAGGCTAAAAATAGACAGGTGTCGTTCAGGGGTTGGAGGATGAATTTTTTGGTATCTTAAACCAAGTTATACAGTTATTGGATTGGGCCCCACTAAATATTATCAATTAATATTAATCTAAGTACTATAATAAAATCACATCTTTAAATCAATAAATTATATAAAAATTTTAAATCTAATAAAAGTACCCTTATAATTTATACATTTAAAGCTCATAAATAATCTCAATTTGGTCTCTCAACAATCAAGTCTCTAGTATTCGCAACTTGTTTCAATCAACTTTCCATGTCAAATTTATCTATAACTATGATGAAAAACCATCACTCAAGCATTTATATCTATGAATTACATATCTAATTTTGACCAAATTAACATAAACATAAGTTAAATTTGTAAAAATATAACACATAAGTTCAACTGAAGTATTCAAAGTTATATCAAATGAGTTATCATACGTATCTTTAATATGTATGCTCTGACTTTACAGTTAACTTATTCACAATTATTCCCATGATCAGACGAACCACATTATGCTCATGTGGCTTTTTTTTTTTTTAGAATCACTTAATAAATTTGAATTGAAAACTTAATTAAAATAGAACTTAAAATTTAAAAACTTGGGAAGTTTTTTTTACTGAGGCAAATGTCACAAATATAAATAGTTCCTTACCAATAGTGACTCTAAAAAGAAAATATACTACATTGATACTATAATCTAATAACACATATTTATATAATAAAGTAGAACGATTTTAAATTCAAGAGACAAAGAGCGGTTCAGATCGTTTCGAGATCAAAAAAGGTATCATCTAACGACTGATGATATTTCAAACTGTCTCAAACTATTGACGTCTCAGATCGTTTCGATCCGATGTACTACATTAACTCTTTTGAAATATTTTTCCCACTCAAACCTTTTAGTTTTTAAAATTAACATCCTTGTTTTATATTCTGCCCCTCTATCTCTCACTTTTCAAAATTCAAGCCAACCCATGCCTGAATCTATAATTCACAATCGAGTGGGGGAAGCTCTAATTTTGATCTTCAGGAATCTCTCATGCCTTAATTTTGAACTTCTTTCCTTAACAGAATGTGATCTCTGTGATCTCTAATCCATACCAGAACTTCTTTCAATGCGATCTTTTTGCCATACCAAAAAAGAATTGCCCTGTGTTACCTATTACAAGCCGTATATCTTCCCCAATTATCCTCTCTTTCCCTACAAACTACACTTCCTACCTAATTCTGCTCTCGCTTTCCTATCTCTCTCTCCCTGTGCATCCCGTCTTTCCTCTCTACCCTCTCTTTTATTGTTGCTCACACTCACACGAACATACATTGTTATTCAACTGCGTTCATTGGTATTCCAATCCTTTTGAGTTCACTAATCATTGTTATTCCATGGTATTCCAATCTTTTTGAGTTCACTTTTATTCCAATCCTGTGTGTGAGCATTTGTTTGTGTCCTCTGTGTGTTAGTGTGTGTTATCTCTCTCTGTGTGTATATGTATGGTGTGTACATTTGTGTTCTGTGTGTGTGTTTTTGTGTACGTTGAGTATGTGTGTTCTCTCTTTTTTTCTGTGTACGTGTTGCTCTATGTTATTCAATTATGGAGACAAAAATAGTTTTGTGCTATTCGATTATGGAATGATGCAATATTCATGTGTTACTTTGTGTGGAATATTTGATTTTTTGCTCACTATGTTCAATAATGGGAGCATAGAATATGTATTTTTAAAAATCTAGCACTCCATTTGCTTCTTGAACATCATTGGCCAAGTTCATAGGATTTCTAATTATTTAGGAATTTTGAGAAATTTTGTACCAGTTGATAGTGGCTACTTTAGGATTTTTTTCTGAATTCAAAAACTTAGGGGTTATTGGTTAGGTTCTCGGAAAGTTTTGAAAAATGATTTTTGGTATTCAAAGACGTGTGTCCATGGTAATAGACAGTAGACACAGAGATGGAGCAATCAATGGGTTCAACAGCAAAGAAGGGATTACAAAGTATTTGATACAGTTTCAGAAACATCCTTTGACAATCCAAGGTCTTGCATTCCTATCTCCTCTATCAAGCTTTGCCTTTTGATATCTTTGTGTTAATTATTTTCATTAATTGCCCCCATAAGGTATTCGATCAAATGCTACATATTGTTTCACACACAAAACACTCACATAGCACATCACACCCACTCAGCGCACACAACACACACATACACATCATAGCACATACAAACACAAACACAACACACACAAACATAACACAGCCACACACATGCACAAGAGAACGCATGCCAACAATTGAAAGTCTTCTTCTGTTAATAAAACTAATTCATGGTCTCTTGGGGTTGGTCAGAACTTTTTTGCATGTTTTGCTTGCGAATTATAAAATTTACAACTTTTTTCTTAGCTATATAAAACTCGCAACTGTCAGCACTGATATGTGCTCTTTATTTGTTCTGTTCAAATTTTCGTGGCAAAATCTCTATGGTAAATGAACAAAATAACAAGCAAAAAGTGAATTAAAAAGAGTTCTTATCAATCATTATATTTTTTTGTTCTCGGTTGTCACACCTTTGCCAAAGTTGGCCAAATTTTATGCATTGGCATTGTTGTACATTGATGGACCACTAACAGCAAGTTTTTGGACGAGTGGGTGTTTGCTGATGGTTTCTCAAAGCATAAAGTAGCCTTTGATAGATTACTACAACTGAGAAAACTGAGTCTACTAACTAAAATTGTTGAGAGGTATTTTATAACATTTCTTATGTGGTATCCTATTTTTTTTTCATGGGATTTAACTATTGTTGCTATTATGGTGATGTGGTGGATGTTGTGTCTAATTCGAATAATTTATTATTCCTTGTCTATGTTGTTGATGTAGTCAGGTATTACTACTAAGCAGCAAACATCCTTTGTGTGGTTTATAGGTGGGTCTTTTTTGGTGATCTATCATTTGGTTGCTTATGTTATAAAAATTTCGTGTTAGTAATATTTTCATGTATTTCTGTTCATGGATTTTTTTTGGGGGGCAATTTTTCTTAATTTTTTTACTGGGTTATGTATAATCATCTAGCAATTGATGATTCTTTATTGGCATTTTTTCTCAATTGCTTAATTGACAGTTTTTTTTTGTTATGTTGGGTCATTGATTGTCATTTTTCTCAATTTTTTTTTATTGACGATTTTTTTGTTTTATATAGTATTTTCAAGTATGAGCAATTTATTTGTAATTTTTTAATTTGTTATATAGTGCCTTCAGGTACGAACAATTGCTAGTATATTTATATGGTAGTTGCACAAATAGTATATTTGGTATGTTACACCTTCTATATTTAATACTAGAAATAATCCGTTCATGGGAGTAAAGATCTCAAAGAGAGTGAAGAGTGAGGAGAGGAAAATAAAGTTCAATATAAATGATTTTGAGAAAAATGTTTTGTGGCAGTTGAATAAGTCTATTTAAAACCGTCAAATAAACTTATTAAATCATACTCTATTTTACATTATAAATTTATGATATTTGTTTGAGCAATAATGAGGTATCCTCAACAACAATGTTATGCTGAAATATTACAGTTAATATTGACATGAGTAAAAGATGAAGCATTAATAAGATAGATGACTCATCAAAAGTCGTCCATTAATTTCGGAGGATAGTTCAAGTGATAACAAAAACAAGTTGTAAAGTGAGACGTCCTGAGTTCGAATCTTGACAATTTTTTGGGATCAACCATGAGAAATTCATCATTCGTGAAAATACTCTAATCCTGGTGTGGATGATCTGTCTTTGAGTGAACCGAGAAAGAGATTAATCAAAATATACGTAAACTGTCCTGGACATCTCTTATACTCCGTTTGGTAGAAAATATAAAAAGTAAGATAGATAAATTTTCTATCCTCCAAGGAAAGAAAGTCAGAATGATACATTTTTTTTCCTTTGTGTCTGGTAGGACGGATGAAAAATAAAAATAATTAAATTTTTTTTTTTGTATTTAATAAGATAGAAAAATATTTTTTTATTTTTTATTTTTAAAAAATATATATATAAATCCATATTTTATCATTGTATTTATATATGAAATTAATGTATGAATAATATATTCATATTAGAAGTAACTCGTACTTAAAGGTACGGTGCAATTCAAAAAAAAAAAAGAGTGGCTGCTCTGATAGTGGAGTAATGGGTGAAATGAGGGAGGATGAGATGGATTTAGAAGGAAAATGTTGGAGATAAAATTTCAAATAGCTAGCTAATTTATTATATAGATATCAAAGGATATATAGACAAATAAGATATATTTCAACACAAATAATTAATTTTTTATCCACTTTTCTTCTAAGTTTAGAGAAATTGATTTTGATGAATTGAAAAAAAAATTCATCTATCCACTTTTGCATCTTTCATATTTTTCCTTTCTTACCATACACGATGTTATATCTATCCTTCTAACTTTTCATCCTTACGTTTTTTCACCGTACCAAACGGAACATTACCATTGAACCCAAAAAAA